CCAGAAACTGGAGTTAATCCTTGCACAGCTCTTTTACTGGGTTTTCCCTCTACTGGGAGAAATTACTGACCCTTGGAAGCAAACTCAGTGTGCACTGGCAAATTGTAACCATGATGGCCATTGCTGTCGATGCTGAAAAAAGAGGAAGCCAAAAAATTCTTAAATATCCTCAAATATTCTTCTTTCCGTTAGAAGGGGAGGGGGAGGTTACGCAATCACTTCCATCTTCTGGGGAGGAAAAGGCTGAATTTGGTACTTCCCTTGTCAGAACTTCTCATCTTATGCAGGCACTCCTGAAAACCATGAAGGCTCTGCCTTGTGACTCCACAGATGGCAGGGCAGCACCTTGGACCTGGGATAGCTGGGAGGCAGGGCTGGATTCCACCCAAGGGCTGGCAGATAAGGAGCAGAAGCAGGCAGTCTTCAAGGAGCAGCAGGGAGCATAACCTTGTTCATTTTAGCTTGGCAGGGAGCTGATTAATAACATTAACTCTTGCTGTGCAGGTGTCAGCTGGTGTGAGAACAGGAGGTGTGTCTGTGCAAGGGAAAATGGTTTCACCAGGACATGGCTGGAGATGCAGTCGCACGTTTGGACTCCAACCAGGTTCACGTTCCCCTGGCCTGGGGGGCTTCAGGTCCCAGCTGCCCTTGGCTCCTGTCAGCAATGCAGAGGGAGCCGTTCCCAAGGCTGCCATTCCCAGTGACATGAATCTGGTGGTGTGAGGGCTGATGTAACCTGCACCATCAGCACCTTTCCCAGGTACCTCTACGTAAGATGCACCTTTCCATGCGGAGGTGCAGAGCTTTGATGTGGCCGTGTTCAGCTCAGGCTGAACCAAACCCAGATTCAAACCCAGATTCAATTAGCTGTAGGTACAGCAAAACTCAGTGTGCTAAGGGGAGTTATTTTATTTTATTTTTATTATTTTATATTTTATTTATTTATATTTTAATTTTATTCATTTAATTTCATTTCGTTTTTCTCATATGCTTAAATGGCAGCTCAGGAAGCACACATTTTTCAATTCTTACATGAAGAATACAAAGAAAAAAATTACACTAGTAGTGGGAAGTGCTGACTAAACAGAATGTATCTTCCCTGAGTAGTAAAAGTGTCAACTGTCAAAGTATGAGTTCCACAAAAATAAATGTGCCTTGGTATTCTGAGGGAGAAGCCCTAAATTTCATGTTTCTATTTATTTTCATGGCAATGGAAACCACTTCATAGAGCAGCCCCCAGCCTGGTGGTGGATGTGGGCTTTGGGGGACTGTTCTTGTGTTACAGTCACCAGTGTAAGTTTTGAGCTAGAGGGATTAATTAAAAATACCATTATGGCAATTGTATAGAATTTTCTGACTGGCCCCTGTACAAATTATATAACTTTAACTTTCTAACACCATGAGATAGTGACAAAGTGAGGAAGATCCATGGGGGAAAGCAGGGTATGCGTGGAGGAGCTCTGCAGTAATAAAATCTCTGCATGGAGCACAGGAAAGGCTGGAAGTAAATAAATGAACCCTGGGCTCAGGGCTTTGACATGTTTTGAAGCTTGAGAAACCCAGGTTTTGCTTTCACTGAGTCTTCAGAGACCTAAACAGCTTTGTTTATACATGTATACATTGTTAAATGATTAAGTCTGTAAATAGAAATGGCCTCAGTAGGTTTTCAAGAAGCCTGACAACTGTACATTCCCAGAAATAGCAAACACCCTATTTTTATTATTTTTTGCTTAATAGAAGGCAGACTTTTGCAAATTCCTACAAATTCAAGTATGTTTGAGCCCTTTGGAAGAGGTGGTTGGTTTGTGTATCCATGAATTTGAGACCCATGTGAACAGTAGACAGCAGGAAGGTGGTTCATTCAACATTAAATGATGGGAAAGCAGCCCAGCTTTGCCCTTTGGAGGCAGGTGGAAGATTCTATTATCTTTAAGTAGCTTTTTTGGACATGACGTGTTTACTTTATTGCAGATTTAGAAGCCAGGGAACAAAGGGAAATAAATACTCATGGGATTTGTTTGATGAGGAATTATTGAAGTGGTCAGCTGAAGCTAATCTTGTTGACTTCCCCTTCAGGAGGCAGTGAACTAAACAGGCTCCAGTACGTGCCCGGTGTGGTGCATGAGTGTGAAGAGTAAAAGCAGCACCCAGCCAAAGTAGAGTAGCCACGACGGAAAAACTTCTAAATTGAGTTTAAAATAAAAAATAACACTAATTAGATTTTATCAAATTTTTTTTTTTGACAGCTGTAAAAAAATTACAGAAGAAAGTTATTTCTCACTCTCAGGTTTTGTTAGCGTTCAGTGTATTCATATCGCAGCAATCTGTATATAAAATACCTGTTTATTTACTACAAACAAATACAGATGCAAAGGCCTAACCTTGCAGCAAGTTGGTTCAACTGTTTTTCAATGAACTTGTTACACAGTTAATTGTTCCTTCAGCTTTGCAGTAGCCCCTTAGCAGAACAATTTTGCAGCTTCATCAGAACATGGTAAAAGCAGAGCAGACCCTGAGCCAGCCAGCCCCTGCACAGAGATGGGAGGGGCAGCATTAGTTCAGCATTCAAAGCCGTGTTGAATACTTTCAGAGTTTATTTTATGCTTTACAAAGCGCTTTTTACCCATTAGAAATCAGCATTATCTATGGATCCCTTCCCATCCAGGTCAGCACTTTGGATCTTGCCTACCTACTTAGATTTGGTTCCTATCTGGGGGCAGCTCATTGGCCCATGCAAGGTAAACTCGTTGCACAAGTGCAGCCACACCATCCTCTCTGAGAACACCGAGGGACATTGGCCAAGAGGCAGTGAGAACAAGGGCCATGCTGCTTTCAAACCTCCTCAGTCCCATTCGGAGCCAGAGGGGAACGTGTAATCATCTAACAAAAAACTGACTCCACCAAAGGCAGGGGCAGGTCCTGGAAACCTCCAGCAGCACCTGCCCCTGCTTTTGCACAACTGACTGGCCGGGAGCGCCTCCAAGCTCAATAATCTCCACGCTCTTTTATGTTTTCATACAAAAAATTTAATAAATATTACTTTTCAAGATTTATTGCCAGGAACAACACATCAAAGATGCATTTTCATATAACACTAATATCACAATACAAGGTATCTTCATGATCTCAATGGTTAACCACTGAGATGACTATGTTTATAAGCCTTTTGATCTTAAACATCGTAATAGCACTTTGATTTCCTCACTTGTTAAGGCGGGCAGTGTAATCTATGGCAAACCTACACAGTGATCTTACTGGACATTCTACTGTTCAAGTATTCAACAACTAGCTTATTAGAATACTCCCTAAATGCAGTAGATTACAAAAAAAGTCAAATCTACAAGTGGTTCAGTATTACATATTCATGGTGAGAAAAAATAATTAGAATTTACAAAATAAGATTGCTGTGTTTCCAACTTCACACGCTAATTTGATATTTTTAATTACATGCAACCACTCACATTTCATCTACGTAAAGTAATAGCTCAGTTTTGTTCCCTTAAACTGCTTCTTAGCAGATTATCTGCCTGTCACTCGGTTTTCAAGTCTAAAGCAGCAAAAAAAATTTTCTAGTCTAATTCTCTAAACTGCCTCAGTCAGTACTTACAAATAGTCTTAAAGTGATACTATGGAAGGTGTTTCAAACGTTTGACATTGTACAAAAACCAGCGTCAAGGCAAGAAAGCCCATCCTATTAAAAATAAACTATTTTAGAACACCTTAGTTTTGGCATATAGGCAACATGTAACAAGAAAAATTCAAAATAGAGAAGCCACGAGCTTACAATGCTATCAAAAACCTTCAACTCTAAACACATACATATAAATAAAAAGGAATGATATTTTAAGGCTCTTGATTATTAAGTTAATAAATCAAATATACACAGTGATTAATAAAAAAAGAATTATTTACATATCTATACAAACTTCTATTTTTGACACATTTTCCTCTTTAAATTCTTCATTTACCAGCAACTGCTGACAAGTTCCCCCCACCCGCCCCCAACAAAAATACAATAAAAAAATAAATAATAAACTTATTTCTGATAGTTGCTGTGGTTCCGAGCTGCAAAGGCACTTTCAAATACAGAACTAGTTGTACGTCACCATAAAACCAATATACAAAAAACTCAAATTCAATAAATATAAATAAAATGTATTATTCTAAAGAAACTGCATAAATCGGAACATCTGGCAGAAAAAAAAAAAAGAAAAAAATGAACACTAAGGAAGAGTAATAAGGCTATGTAATACCTTATGGAACGTTTCCGTGATGGATCAGCTGCAGCTGAATTTACAGGAGGGCACTTTTGACTAGTTTTGCATAGATGTGAAATGCAGCACTTGGTATTCCAGCCAACCACAGCAACTATCATTGCCAGTGTAAGCCAGCTTGTCCAAACTTAAATTAACACAGGGATTCTAAGTAAATAATAGCCTTAGACTCAAATATTACACAACAGTTTAAGAACTACAAGCTCTTGAGTGCCTTTATAATGATACTCAAAGGCCCTGCATGGCAGCACCCCACCGTCTGCTATACGATGTACTCCATCCGATTTAGGCTTTGTGCACTTTCCAAGTCTCTGTTGTCCTGTTTATTTGTCCAGTTTGGGTGTTTTGTAGGGGTGCTGTTGGGGGGCTTTTCATCTCTGTCTACCAAAGTGTAGGCTGGCTGCTTGGCAAATCGGGCCTTCTGCTGGTGCTTGTCCATGTCGTCCTCCTCCACCTCGGAGTTGTGTGTCCTTATTTTGGCGATTTTAGAGTTTTTGTTTTCGTAGTCTTTAATGGGGACAGTATTTGCTCCGTGTTTCTCAATGGGGTTTTTGATCTGGTTCAGCTGCTCCCTTACGTTGTTGGTGGTGTTGTCGTCAGAGGCCGTGTGGGTGTGGCTGCTCTGCTTTCGGCGCTTTCGGATGCACCAGTAAAACACGGTGACCAGGCAACAGATCCAGGCTACTGTCAGGACCGAGCTCAGCAAGGGCACCAGGAAATCTGGAAGAGACAGGAGGAGTTAGTCCTGCTGCAAACCACGGGGGACACTTCGGGATGCCTCAGAGAAAACAAATCTCAGTTTTTACGCCTCGTTACTTCCTGTGTTTCTCCACGAGGACCATGGAAGGGTAGCAGCCTTTTTGACAGGTTAGGCCACAGGTTTAGCAAACTTTTGGAAAGTTTTTTTAGGGCTTTTAGAAATTAAAAGACCTTGGGTGCAAAGCCTCCCCACTGTTCCTGATAAACAGGGACTTGCTCAAAGTCTCCAAAGTGAGGAAAGCCTCTGCCCCTGGAAGGGGTGTTGCAGGCAGGGCGAGGTACAGGAGCAGGGGCCAGGGAGCAGCTCACCTGTTTTGTTCTTGGCCGGGCGCCGCTGCACCCTGACTTCGGCGACAGCGGCGATGAGGGTGTTGTTCCCGTCGCGCTTACTGACGAGGTCGATGATCTTGTCTGTGATGTCTTTGATCGGGTTTTCATCTTCCCCGATGTCTTCTGCAGACTGCAGGAGGAGGCACACAATTAACACCAAGCACCGCATCAGATGCACCAGGGAAGAGCCTGCTATTTATAAACCTTCACAGGCAGTGAAGGCTCTTGCTACTTTTAATAAATAACAACACAGAAACAAAGCAAAATGGCCTGCTATGGGCAGAAACTAATGACTCAGAATTCTTGTTTCTCATCCTTAAAAAGACCAAACCTCCCCCAAAAGCAAATGTGTACTGTCCTTATTACAGTTGCCCCCAGATGGCAGCTTTCAGGTAAGCACGTGTAACCAGAATTCCTTTCCTGTTCTTGAAGGGAATCAGGATGGAAACTACAAGAAGTGCTGACAAAGCCAGGAATTAAGATTTTTATGAAATCCACATGTTGCACACATATCCAAGCCATTAACTACTAAGACATTTAAAAATATTCCAGGAATACTTACAATAGCAACATGGATTTCATTATTTGCCAAGTGGGAAGGCTCACAGGTAATATAGATGGAATATTCAACAGAAACATTCTTCAGAATATTCAGATTCCTCAATTCACTGCAAACATGCTCTGTGGTAAGGCCCTGGAGGATACAAAAAACATGTTGGCTTTTTTAAATACATATGCACATGAACACACAGATACAAGATTTGTTTGATATTTTTTTTTTCCCTGAGGTTAGAGTTCTCAAGGGAAAAGGAGGTGGAATTCCCCCCAACCTGGCTTTTGTTCTTCTCCAGTCACAAAAGCATTTAGGCTGCAAGGCTATATGGATCCTTCACTGCTTTTTGTTTTCTTTGAAAATGAGGCAGAGCCAGGTTTGCTGTACTTTTCCCTATGAAAAGCATCATTCCATGCTCTGGGAATGAGTCTATGTGTGCCACAGCCCAGCGAGCTGCTGTTACTTACCGGGGCCATCATTTCTTTGTTAAAGGTGAAGGTGATGTTGGCACAGTTGTCCTGGTAGTAGGAATCTGAGTTGCATTTGGTCCTCACAGGCTGCTGGTTGGAAGGCCAGCATTCCCCCACGGCGGCACACGGGTGGGTGAAGCAGTGGTCGTCCCGCACAGGGACACAGGCGTGGCCAGCGGGGCACTCGCTGGGGCCTTTGCCATGCAAGACACAAGGCCGAGGGCCACACCAAACCTAGGAGAGGATGATACTGGTGAGAATCCACTGGTTAGAGGGCAGAAAATTATGTAACCCAAACCACAGCACAGCTGTACCTTAGAACAGGTGACTTTTCCATTCAGACACTGACAGGTATTGCAGTCATCATCCCACTTAGTCCCATCTGGCATTACTCGAACACTGGTAATGCAAGGCCTTCCTGTAACTGAAGAGAAATTGAACAGAATTGTAAGCTAAAAATAGGAAACAAACGCCTTTTCTGAGTTCATCCAAACTTCCCACTAAGTTACTTCTTCAGTAAAGATACTTGCTTTAAAAAACAACTGACAGTACACCCCAAAACCAACCCCATACAACCACAAACCCATCAATGTGCAATTATACAGATCTTGCCACAATTGCTAGGATCGGCTCTGGAATCTGCAATACCTTCTTGGCACCCTGGACCACTGCGACCCGGGGGGCAAATGCAACGGTACCCGTTGATTTCATCAATGCATGTGGCTCCGAAGGCACAGGGCGAGGACTGGCATTCGTTGATATCTGTGATGGGAAGGAGAGGAAACAGAATTGTTACTCCATAGTATCCTTTTGTTTTGTCAGGAAAAAAAGCAAACACAGGATAGAACTGCCTACTGGAGCTTTATGTTCGTTTTCTAGTGTCTACTGGGACATAGATTCCTGCTTGCAGCACCAATATAACCTCAGAAAAGTCCTTTGACGTTTCTGCTGCGTGGCACTGACAAAGATCAAAACCTGACCCCTGTGGCTACTTGAGCTTTCCAGGGCAAGGACACATTCCTTCCTACACAGACACACTTCCTCTCCTCTGATGTGCTCCAGTTTTGTCCCCCACTAGCTCCTTCAACTGATGTCAATGTTAAACCCTTCCCAGCTCTATTGCTGCTGTGAGACTTATATTCCATGGCTGTTATTAAAAAAAAGTGTCCTCCTACCTGTAATTATTATTAAATTACAGGGAAGCGCATACATCACCTCAGGGCTTGGAGGTGGATTATTAATTGACAAGGTTTTTGGCTGGCACACTTTCATCTCAAGCAGAAGCCTGGGCCACACAAACACAAGGGAAGACTGTCCCAAAGGGCATTTTGCCCACTCGGCTGAACCAAGAAGTTTCAGCTCCAGCTGAGTGACCTTAAATTTCTTTCATTTTCAGTGTGATTCCTGCCTCCTCCAAATTTTCTAAGGATCCAGGTACGGACAGAGATGACACAACACATCTATCACTCATCTGATCTACCACTTAATTCAATTAAGACAATTGTCTTGCAACAAGATTTAAGTGAGACAAAAACTGAGGCAGAGAGCCATTGAACACTCACTGATCCTGCAGTCGGGCCCGGCGAAGCCTGGAGCACACTCACAGCGGTACCAGTTCTCTCCATCCACACAAGTGCCACTGTTGTAACTGTGGAGAAGAGGCATTATCACAGACATTAAAAACTGCTACAGATAAAAGGAACCCAGAATTCTAAAACAACAAAAAAAAGCAAAGGATAAACGTAGCAAACTTACCAAGGATGAGGACTGCAGTCGTTTGTGTCTGCAAAGCAAAGACATGCAGCATTAAACATGCAGACTTTGGCTAATACAGCTCTACTGGCAGTAAAGAATGATCAAATTTTCCCTAATGCCCAAGTTATACTTAGCTCAACTTCTACAAAAATATGCTGAAATTCTCTACTAAATTGGTTCCAGGCTTGTACCACAAAATTTGTTAACTACATTGTGGAACACATGTATACAGGAAGAGATCCTTGTAAAGAGTCTAATGGCAGGGGGGAAAAAGTGGAAGCAGACAGAGCCGTTCGCAGAAAAAGAATGCAGGAGAAAACAAGACAACATCTGTCTCCACTTAGCTCATTTGCAACTTTCTCATGCCCAGGTCAAGGCTCTATCACATAAAGTCATTAAAAACAAAGATTCAGGTGATGCTAAAGCCTACATCAAACAAGCTTTCCCTTCTGGTTTCAATCTTGACTCCTAGGGTGACAGGATGAGCTCATGTTCTCATCATGCAACACTCTGGAAGAGTTCAAGCAGAGCTGACTTACTCTGGGTACACATGGGTCCTTCCCAGCCCTCCTTGCAGACACAAGTGAAGGAGTCCCCGCTGACTACACAGGTACCACCGTTGTGACAGGGGTTTGGCAGGCAGCTGCTGTTCCTCGCTGTAACACAAACAACATTTGCGGCTCAGTTGTTAGAAAGCCGTCAAATCTGAGCCAAGAGGAACAGCTGAGGTCAGAGCTGCAGCGCTGCATCTGCTTCCTGGAGATTATGCAGGGTATTTACCTATGTTACAAGTGGCTCCTTCCCATCCTGCAGGACACATGCACTTGAAAGTGTCCCCCTCATCATAGCACGTCCCCCCGTTGTTGCACGTCGCCTCATCGCACTGGCTGTCACCTGCGGGAAACCCAGACCGTCCTTAATGCTGGTGCTCTCTTAGGCCAACAAGTTCAAGCAGCCTATCAGGGCACGTCTGTTATGTTTTGGAAATGCTGAACTTACGGGAGTGGCAAGTTTTTCCTTTCCACCCATTTTTACATTCACAGAAGAAGTCGTTGACCAAGTCTCGGCAAGTTCCTCCATTGTGGCAAGGGTTTTTACTGCAGTCATTAATATCTGGATATATTAAGGAGAGAAAACAGGCTCAGTGGTGTTTACAGAACTGACAAACACAATGCTTGAAAGAAGCATAACCCATCCCTAATTTTGGCCTGTGTTTCAATTGTGGATTAAATGCTTAAATTAGTATTTTAAAGCTTTAAGTGCTGTCACATAGATGAAGACTGTTTCACCACATTTCCCCACTTTGTTTTCATTTTGTTTGTAATCTTGTTTCAGTAAAAAAGCGGTGAAAAGGCCTATTACATAAACTACCCTGTTAGTCAGGGGAAGGGAGCAGAGCACTCAACTCCTCTTCTGCTCCTGAGACAGACAAAATGCAAGTATGATATGCAGACAGGCCATAAAGTGGCATCTACTAATGCAAAGGGTTTCTTCCTGGAAGTTATCCAGAGGATAGGACAGGAAACTGAACAGTGAGAGAGACAGGTTCTAATCCCAGTCCAATTTTGTAACTTGGGCTTAGTTCCAGTACAGAAGATTGGGACTTGGTAGGAGAACCTGGTCCTCCATGGCCTTCGAAGCAGAGTTTATTGACATAGGTCACTGTCATCTTAAAGACAGTACCAGCCATTCCTTCCCAATGTTTTCCCAAGAGCTCCTTCTGTGTGCTGAAGGATGGATAACTTACTCGTTTCACAATATGTTCCTTCCCATCCATCGCTACAAATACATTTGTAGGAGTTGATGCCATCGATGCAAGTACCACCATTTTTACAGGGGTTGCTTTCACAGTCATTGATATCTGCAACAGTTGGGAAGAAAGAAGGGGATTCAAAAAAAGAGGGAAAAAAAGTCAAACTAGAAGTACAGCTACTAGGAGTCATTATCTTATTGCAGACTGTTTGGTGCTACTTCCATTTCTAATAATACCCTTTGGAAAGGAAGGCTTATAAGCAAGATGAAAAATGGTAAAAAACTGCACAAGGTGACGAACCTGTCATTATTAAAAACAAACAAAAAAAAATCTGGAGTCCTTAAGATCCACGTTAAACCCCACTATTAACTCCCTCAGACCTTGTATACATAAGGTTTTTAAAAACATACAATTGAAGGCCAGAGGGTTCACTGCTGTGAACTTTCCCCAAGGCCTAGCAAATTCCACTCTGCCTCGCCCAAGAGGGATATGAAAACTTACAGCAGTTCCAAGGTTCACTGAGTTAAAATGAAGAAACCTTAAAGGGGTCTGGGAGGGAAGGATGGAATCCTTTCCCAGTAAGAGTGGGGGACAGTGAAACACATTCTCTTTTTTGCTCTTACTCTCATGACAGTAGGTGCCAGTGAATCCTTTGTTGCATTCACAGGTGAATTTTCCACCCGCTTGGCTCTTGCACTTCCCGTGAGGACCACAAACATTGGAAGAGATATAGCGAACCCCTTCGGGCGTGCTGTTGGAAGCCACTGCCACGGTGCAGCTGTCAATTACTGCAGAAAAGCAGAGACAGCATGAGAACTACCCATGCAACCTGATTCCTTAAGAACAACATTTTCACTTCCAGCCATGGATGTTTAGAAGACACTCATGCCATTGAATCATTTAGGTTGGAAAAGACCTTTATGATCATCGAGTGAAACCATAAACATATGACTGCAAATATGTTTGCTGCCTTAAAATAACACTGGACTCTGCCAACTGTGCATAAAACAATCACAGCATCTTATCTGATGATTGATGGAACACATCCATGGCCTGGAATAAATGCATCACTCTATTTGCTACCTGTGCTTTCAGTCCACATTGACATAATGTTGTCTTTCAATAGCTGATACTTTCAAGTATCACTCATCTTTTCACACAGAGAGGGGCCTAAGGCAGAGGGCAAAATTCAGCCTCTTTATACCAGAGTTCCTGCAGTGATTCCCTGCTGGAGCTGCATTAGGGCTCCAGCGAGGGGAGGGGCAGGAATCGCTGCCAGACATTGCCATTCACCGGCAAGGCAACACAAACCTTCACAAGGAGTCGTGCGGCAGTGATCCTTCAGGTGGGAGCAGTTCTTCCCTTCGTAATCCTCAGGGCAGTTACAGAAATAGTCCATGGCAAGATTGAAGCACTGGGCGCCGTTCTGGCAGGGATTTGGCTCGCAATAATCTATGTCCAGCTGTAAGCAGTGCACAGAGAGGGAAGGGAAATAGGAAGGGGGGGAAGGGAGTGAGGGAAAGCTGAGTGAAAGAGGTTTATCATGGCTTTCCCTCACCACGACAGGCCGACATTGTGGAATCTGACCTTTTTATCTGCTGCCTCAAAGAATCATTCATAGCACACAGTTTAGTCCCACTCGCCACTATTTCGGCAGACAACTCTCGATATTAAACTGCCAAAGTTAACAGTTAGAGCTCCACAAAGCCTGATGTGCAAACCCTGCAGTCTGCTTAACAAAGAGAATCCTCTGCAGCCTGTCAGGGGTTTGTTGGTTTCTTCCCCCCACCCAATATATATTAATCAAGCACTTTCTTGGCAGACTGACAGCAATATCAAGTACAACTTTATACTACGCTTCACTGGATGCAAGGCATTCCGTGCTCAGATTCGGAGCGTCGGAACAAACGGCACTGGCTGAGGGCCTGCCTTTCACCCAGCCTTCTTACCTGACAGAGGTTTCCTGAGAAACCAGCAGGACACAGACATTGGAATCCATTGATTTCATCCTGGCAATGACCCCCATTCATGCAAGGGTTACTTGCACATTCATTGATGTCTTTCTCACAGTGATCTCCTGCATAGCCAGGTGAACAGATACACCGATAACCATTAACCAAATCCTGGGAAAGAACAGAAGAAAGTTTAGAGTTAAGGTTTTTCCTCCCTCGATATATTCTTATTAAGAAGAAAAATCAAAAAAGTAAAAAAAAAAAAATTAAAAAATCATCTTACTCTGTCTAAACAAGGCAAAAATATTTAAAGGGGAAAGCCCACACACAGACCCAGTTCCAGCTTACATTCTTAATTTCCAGGCAAGATACATTAATCCACAGGTTGAAGGGAAGTGCCTACATTTCCAGTGGCAGTTTGCACAACCACCAGCCCATTCACTGGTGACACTGGCAGTGAAAGTGAGTCATTTATTGAGGTTATGTATTTTGCCCTTACTGTTCTACAGACGTATCTCAACACGCTGTAGCATGACATAGGCCCTCCCCCCAACTTAAAGAATTGACCATTTGTAGCAGCTTATCACCATTTTCCAAACTATTTGTGCTTAGACTCAAACGTTTTAGTCACTGTTGGAAATCTTGGGGAAACCTAAGTTAAACGAGAAGGGCTTACCCGACAGGATCCTCCATTCTGACATTGTCCACGACAGTCGTTAATATCTGCAATAAAATTAGCACGGTTAGAAGGCAAAAATATATTTACACTAGATAGAGAGTTCAGGTCTCTCTAAAACTGCAGCTAGATAAACCTTTTGTCAAGTTTCCTGCATGCCTTCCTCGAGATAAGGTTATTATAATGGGTGGGAAACCTTTTTCGATTCTTCTAGGAGAAGCAGTAAAACTTCACATCATTGTTTTAGTCCCTTTATCAGAATATAGCTATGGTGCAGGCTAATGACTTTGATAAAATTGTATATTTTCATTCCGCACCAACTACTCCCTTTCTAAAAACATCAACTGCTGGGGCTCTGCCCAGTGTTTAAATTGAGCTTAGAACTCAGTGGCACATGCTCATATACCCAAAGAACTGGCCTTTAATAAACCCAAGGGTACGGACACTTACTTATATCACAGTTGTGGCCAGACCAGCCAGTAATGCAGTCACAGTAGTAGCTGCCAATCAGGTTCCTGCAGGAGTTGGCATTGACACAGGGCTTGCCCTCACATTCATTTGCATCTGGAAAATGAAGGGGAACATTCAGGGGGGAAGGGAGAAGCCCACGCCCCAGCAATAACCAGCAGTTCCTCCAGAGCTAAGAGGAACTTGCAGCATGCAGCAGGGATTAGCGTGACTTGAACGAACAAAAGTCAATCATCATCAGCCTCTGAAGGCTCTTTCAGTTTCTTTGCAATTAGAACATACAGTCTACGCTAATTATTTCACAATTACCCAGCCACTCATTAGGAGCAACTTGCCCCCACACACGCATCTCAGCTGAGCATTCTGAAGCAGGAATGCTGCAGCCTGGTCATTGGGATGAGTGTGCTGTGTAAAGAATGTAGCCAGCTCATTCTCCATGAGATCATCCCCATTTTGGAACCCAGCTGTGAACTCTTGGGTCTGGAGGAGTTGACATGGTTGAAGAGATGCAGCAATTTTCTCACAGGGTAAAGGGAGAAACACATGTGGGGGTGGGATTGGGAGGCACAACATGCACCCTCCCCACTCCAGGGCAGTCCTGGTTTGAAGGATGTCTCTGGTTAACTATTTCCTTCAAGTGCCAGCATGCAGAAACAAGGTGATAGAAGTCCCACTAGTCTTGGACACTGTCCTAGACCTCAGTCCTGCAAACAGACACCAAATGTCTTCAATGTGCTAAAATACAACCACAGGCTTCAGAAACATGACCGTGAGTAATGTAGGACCATGATCCATTTGTATTTATCTTTCCCAGCTCTGGAACAACACTGGATGAGGAGAAAGCAGTTCTTACCTAGCTGGCATGTTTTGCCAGTCCACTGAGGTGGGCAAATACACTTAAATCCATCAACTAGATCTTGGCAAGTTCCTCCATGACCACAGGGGTTTGGAGAACAATCATCAATATCTGTAACGCAGAATAAGGAGAGGCTTAGTTCCACTACCAGATTGGCAATAGCAGTAACTGACAAGTCTGATAAATGGTTGCTGCTACTGGGGTTTTTCCTGAGGAACAGAAGAACAACAGGACTTCCACTTGGAATTTCTAGGTTATCTTTGATTTCAGCAAAAGCCTCCTTTTAAAGAGAGGAGTAATGTGAAAAGGTGGTTCAAAGAACTGGGGGAAAAGTTTACCCCGTGGTCTTTTTGCAAGTGGATGTCCTATTTGGATCCAGCAAGTCCCTCAAATCAGCATTTTTAACAACATGCCAGAATGGTACAAAAATTCAGCATCCTGCTTCTTTCAAGATGATTTTGGCTATTCTTTCCCCTGGTAGCTGACAAAAAACCTGGTACAAGCAAAGGGGAAAAGAGAGCACAGGGGTATCAACGGCTGCCAGGAAGCAACGCTCAGGCTGGGAAAGGTTAAGTAGTCTGCCCTGTAAGTTTATGAGGGATTAGACTGATCAAAACCAGGAAACTGGCACATTTTTAATAAACACTGAAAAGGACTCACTGTCAGTGCAAGTTGGTCCAGCCCAGCCAGGAGCACACACACATTCAAATCCCGTGGATGTCTCGAGGCAGCTTCCCCCGTTGTGACAAGGGTCAGAGAGGCAGGCGTGCTCCGCTGCACAGGGACAGAAGGACAACATGGCAGAGGCTACATCCATGCCAGCACAAGCCACCCCTGCTCCCTCCACATGCTTCTGCTCTGGACACACCATCCTAACTCTTGCTGCACTGTGCTCCTGCAAGAACCAGGAATTTCCTGGCTTGCAGAAAGTCTCCTTCCATGCTAACCTCATCAGCACACCGACTGGCACCTGCTGGAGCCACAGCCAGACAGGGTGGCTCAGAGTGACCTCCCCAGTGAGCAGAAGGCTGATGTTCAGGAAAGGCTGGATCTTTGTACCCAGCCCGGACTGGGTACACTACAAATTGAGTTTTCCTCCATCTCCATGCATAAAGTGCATCCAAAACCAAGTGCCACCAAAAGCTGGCAAGAATTAACTGTCAGGTGGCAGCTTAGCAGCTGCATCTAACACTTACCAATTTCACAATTCTGTCCTGAGTAGCCCTCAGGGCAGGAACACTGGTATTTGTCAGGCCCAGTGTTGCTGCAGGTACCACCATTCAAGCAGGGTGGGTGGGTTCCACAGTAGTTCAGATCTGCGAGAGAGGAGGAGCATTAAAGCCAGGCTAGAAAGTTACAGGAACATCACCACCTGCTTTGTTCCGTTATCCCAGAGCCTTTACAGAATGCATCCCCACACTGGAGAGGGACAGGAAGGGACAAGCTAAGGACAGATGCTAACCATGCTGGAACAGCAGTGGGGACAAGGCTGAGCAGCTGAGGGCCAGCACGCTCCCAGCACGTTTCAGGAGCTCGCCAGGCCCCACGTGCATTCCCTCGGTGCAAAGTCTGCCAGCGCTGACATTCAAGTGTGACACGGCCCTCTGGGATTAGCATACCTTTGTCACAGAGCTGACCACCCCAGTTGGTTTCACAGAGGCACTGCCATGGTTCAATGCAAGTGCCATGGACACATCCCGGGTGTGGAATGCACTTATCACAGTACTGGCCTTGCCATCCATACTGACACCTTCAGTTAAACAGAAAAAAAAAATCAGAACAGGGAAACAAACCCAAACCCATCATAATTGCTGTGTGTAGATATGAGCAACTCCAAAGCTTGAAGAAAGGCTGGGGAAGTGGGGGAGAAGGGCAGGATGAGGGGAGGGGAGAAGCTATTCAAGGATTGTTTGATGGTTTCTTGTAAACAAACATTTTGGTAGTTTTGCCAAGGTCTCTGTAGCTGGCCTCCTGACAAAAGAATAACTGTTCTGAGAAAACCAGCATGAGGTCCATTCAGCACAATAATACTCTTTTGGAGCCTCATATAAATGTGGCAGAGAGGGTGGGTGTGCACTACAAATCAATCTCTGGACTTTGACAGGGTGCTTTATAAATTGAGGGGGGAAG